TATGTAAGTTTTCTCTGTTGCTGAATGTGGCTTCTTGAATGTGGCTTCTTGTCGTGAGCAGGCAGTCATCACCAATCATCATTGTATTTGCAAAACAAGCGGTTATAATACGCCCTCTAAGCAGCTGATGATAAAATGGTCGGACGATGTTTTCATAACCCAAATAACATTCCTGTTTTGTTACACTGTGTACATACATAAATACACGATGATTTCCTACACATGATGTTTTTAAACATGATCTCAATGATTTTGTCAAGCTTTCATAACCTGACCAGGGTGCAGTTGAAGATTAGGTATAAAATGATCGCAGGGGACTTTCTGACATGAATATAAATACAGGTTTTTCCAAGTTTCTTTATGTTGTGGAGCCATTGTTGATACTGACCCTCTGACTCTGGGAGCACGTCCACACCAGCCCTGAGCTTCTTTATAAACAAGCCTGGATAAAAACTGAAGAAAAAAAACAACGTTTTATTTGGGGTGTTGTTACACAGCTACAGGAATATATTGAAGACGATTAAAACATCTAAAACATGAATAAGCAGTAATGATAAGAAAATTCTGAGCCTGATAAAAGAGCAATGTGAGAGAGGAGATGAGGGGTTTCTGACCAGGCAGGCCAAGACATCGGCAGAGATGAGCATGTAGAAGACGTTGTTCCAGCCAGTGGGGGAGATCAGACCGGCTAACAGAGGACCCAGAGCAGCTCCTGCAGAAAACACACCAACAGCAAAACCTTTTTTTCAACCTTTCAGACTTTTAAATGCAAAAGAAAGGACTCGAAAACATCAACTTTGAAAAGACAAATACAAAAGTGAAAAAGTATAAAATATGTCAGGTATGAACGGAGTTAACAGCCTTCAGAGAAATCATTAGGAACAAAGCGCCTGTGTTCAGGATACAACCGTTGTCCGAGAGTTAAGTGGATTATCATGTGGAATTTTCTGTTTTACTTTAAATGCATTTTTATTTGCAGTAACGGCATCACCAGATCGACATGGAGGTTACATATCGAATGACTTGGGAAAACTAAGGCATCGTAGATTAGAGGTTAGGGTATTGAAAATATATGTCTATCATTTTGCATGGAATGAATTTCATTATGCATCATTATCATCAATGAAATAAGTATCTGTATATGTTTGGTGATATATGTTTCAGTGCTTCACAGGTTCATTTATTTCCCCTCCAATTCCTTCACCCAAATCATCATTTAGATTTGTAGACACCATTTGATCTATCTCTCTATTTAACAAATACAATGAAGGTGAATTCAACTTGTGGAACAGCAATAAGAAACATACACTCAGACAACTCAACCGTGTCTGTGTCAATGTCTGATTCTCAGCATGTAACACACCAGTGAGGAACTACAGTATGTTAAAATATTGATTTGATCCATTGTTTATATTACCAATAACTACTTGAAAATACAGAATCAACAGTGAGATGCTGATGTTCACGTACCCACTGAACCAGTTCCGTCTATAATAGCTGTGACTGTTGACAAGGCCCTGGAGTTCCCTCTCAGACTCTCATGTGTTCCCTGTTGTAACAAACACATCAGGTCAATGCAAACGGTGTTTTCACTTATGTCCACTACATGTCAGTGGGATTATATAACAGAGCATTAGATGCATAAGTTCTTACCAGGTCTGCAGATACAGCAGTAGTGATGAGTGCGTACGGTCCGTTCACCAGGCCTCCACACACCAGCAGCATAGCTACATATGGAAAAACAGCTTCACATAAAATGGCTAAAAACTTGTCAGGACAAAATAAACCAACTTCCGCATGTACTTGTACTTGAACTCATTTTTGTTATGACTCCGCTCCTTCTCCCTGTAAATGAATATTTCATAACAGTGTAATATTTTCTGTCTCAGGGGAATATTTTAAACCAAAGTGAGGATAGACTTTAGAAAAATAGTTAAAATATGAAGACGATATGCTGGAGTGTGTTTTTATGGAGCTTTAATTCTGTTTGACTATGATTCGACATGACCATAAAAAAATTATCTCTCATATCCAGCTTTGTCTTTGAACTGAATCTTTATTGTAAGAGCAATCTATCAAATAGCTGAATTAACAATAAGATGCTAGAAGGAGTATTAAAATAGAAACTTACCAATTGTAGTACCGAGGTTCCTTTGTCCAATGTAATTATAGAGGAAAAGCTGAAACATGAACAAACAACGCTTTTACGATCCATGCTGGATGTGAATAATCACTAATGTTATTGTCATTATTTATTTCCTGTGGTGACACGGACCATGGGGGCGGCAGCAAGCAACATCACACAGCAGGTTGTAGCTCTTCCACCGGTGTAGTCAGACACAACACCTGCCATGATGCCTCCTGGACATTCAAAACATATTCAGACACATTATATCTTCCTGGCGTGAAACATGTTGGAAAACTTTTCAGATTATTGGATACGTCTGATCAACACCTACCCACAATTCCTCCAACATCAAACAGCGTGGACATGTCTCCTGCCTCTTTTGCTTCGAAATGTGCTGAGAATGAAAAACAAAATCTATGTTCATTTTAAGATGATGGGGATGAAAGTATATCGTATGAAAAATAAAAAAATTTATAATTGGAAAAAAGTGGGTAAACACTGACCGATGTTTGAGATGTACAGAGGAAGCCAGTACAGGAAAGTGTAGCTGACCAGTTTGGCGAACAACAGACAAAGAGAAAACTCCATCACTCCCTGTGTGAGACACAATGACAGAATGAAAACCTCTGGAATCTTTCCCATGTCTCTTACACTAAACATGCGTTAGGAAGAGAGTCTGCTCTGATTAACTAGAGCCAAGTACATAAAGAAAGCAGATGTGTGATGTTTTGCTACATACGGAGCTGAGCCACAGATCCTGCCAGATGATTACCAATATGTTGAAATAAAATGTCAAAAAATTCTAAGTGAATGATTTTAAAATGAGTCTCAAAAGCTGAATTTCTATAAATCTTTATTTTTAAATCAGTAAAAAAGTTGATCAGATCTGTGTCACTGTGTAGTTTCCATTACCACCATCAGAGGGTGATAAAGTTAACATTTTCAAATCCTTCTCATAGTTGTTAGACTCTTTATCTTTCAAACTGTAAACAAATTCAAAGTATTGAATTCATGACCTTTATTAGTTTAGAACGTTTTAAGTATCGAATATAGTAGTAAAAAAATTATTCAGAACCACCCGTTTCAAATTCATCCCACCAGGTCTAACAAACCAAACATTTCCATGGTTAAAAATAGTTGTTTTGACTCACAGGTATACTGAGAGCTCCACAGAAGCTTATAGCCTCGGTGTGATCCTCGACAACCGCTGGAGGCTCGTTGGAGATGGACCCGTTGACGGTTCGGGGCGAGTTCTGCAAGAGAGGTTCCACTTCACCGCTGTCCTGATCACTCTAAAGCACACATAAACATGCATGCACGGGTTCAAGCTGTTTCATTGTTAATTATTATTCACTCATTCATT